ACCCCCAGTGCGCGTCACCAATGATTAATACAAAAACGCTAAAACACCATTCAATTTTTCCCGCAACATAAAAATTCGTCACCGAATAAAATTCTAAAAAATTTAAAAAATTTCAAATTAAATTACCGTAAGCGATGGGCTGGTACAAGGAAGCCCGGCAGCAACAGCCAAACTAGCAGCAGCTGCCAAATTTGGCGATGACAAAAGAAACTGGAGAGCAGCAGCTGGAGTAGTTGCTGAAGATGTTGGAGGAACGTAGCTATAGCCGGCCGCTGGTGGTAGGCCAATCTGTTGGATGGCGGCGAGATTGAACGCGTCCGGATCTTTGCTGAATTCCTCAAAATGATGTCTAATTTTATCGCCTTATCACAAAAGCGCAGTGCAAACTCATTAAAACTTTTGCAAATCAGTGACGAGGTTAGGATTTTTTCAAAACCATGGAAGGTAGAGAAGGAGAAGGTAAAAGAGAAATATGAGAAAAGGAGGCCTGAGGAAAAAGGGAAAGGGAGCAGTTTCTGATAAACTCAAAAGCGACGGCGCTTCAGTTGTTTCTCAGGAGTCGCTTTTTTATTCGGAAAGGTTCAATGGATTTTAGCGAAAGCTCAGCTGTTTGCTCAGTCCGCTAAAGAAGAATTCAGGCTGGGAGAAGCATTTACGGAAAATGAAATGACAAAAAATCTGAAGGCTTACAGTGAGCGTTCGTTGAAATCGTCGAACATGGAGTGGCTTCGAGGCCATCCCAACCACCGACATTATTTCCAGGAATTCATGCTCATCGCAAGTCATAAATTGATTGATATCGTCGCCGCCTGCAAATTTTCTTCAGAAAACACCAAGAATGTCAAGGCCGCCGAGATAATTAGTACGGGCATCCCATGTTAGCGAAGTTACTGAAATACTCCTACAAGTCGGGCGAAGATATTTCAGGCTGAAAATAAAACCCAGGCTGGAACGCACCGGGCGGGCCCGTGCGATCATGCACCTTTGCACCGGCCTTGAAGTACTCTGGTCATTAAATGCATGAATTGTTGTTGCTCTGCACCTACGTTTTGCGGTCACTAACATAAACCCAGGCTGGAACTCACCAAGCAGGCCGGTGCGATTATGCGTTTTTGCACTTTTCGTGCTGTAGCAAGAATGCAAGGAATCAAAGCAGCTAACCCTGTGAAATACCGCCCCTCGAAGTTTGGGGAATTAATTGTGTAACTATGTGGTATGTCAGTTGTAGGTGTCGACTTCAGTGACCCGACAAATGGAAAG